ACCAATCTATTCAGTGAGATTCATTTACACCAAGATTGACACCAATCTATTCAGTGAGATTCATTTACACCAAGATTGACACCAATCTATTCAGTAATATTTTGACTCTTTGACGGGTAATTTTCCGTCTGCACTCTACCGAGGCTCCGTCTTCGTACTCACTTGCTCTCCCTGATGATAGCCATTCGGTGGAAGGGATCTTCCCACAGACTTTTCATGATAATCGAGATGTGGTATCGAATAGTAAACTTATCGTAGAATTCATTAGAGCTGCCTGTTGTCTCCACATCTTTATACCAAAACAAAAAAAAAACATTTTGTACGTTAGGGTGTGGCGATAGGAGAGCTGGTCACCACAGGGTAACCAACCCACAGTGTAGTGCTATACTCCAGTTTAGAGTTCTCTGTTGCTCAGGGTTAGCCACGATTTTGTGCAGAATATTAGAATATTTCAGAATATTTCATGGGAAGCACGGGTGGCGTAGCGGCGAGCGGTGAGTCCCGCTGACTTCGGTGTCGTATGTGTTTAGAGTTGTTTGTTGGTTCTCTCCTGTGCTTCGAGGGTTTTCCGGGTTCTCTGGCTTTCCTCCCTCCGTAAAAATCAACTTCTAAATTCCAATTGGAATCTAGTGGAAGAGCCACTCTGTGGAATCCACTGTTTATCCCATTTTTATTTATTTATTATTATTATATTAAGATTCGTGGAATTCCAAAGTATATTACTTAATAAGTTGTGCACTCTTTAATTTACTGTTGGTAAAGTTGTGAATATTTAGACACCGATACGAGGCTAACTCCGAGTCTGTGATCATGGAACACAGCGGTCTATTCAGTACTCACCGGTATAAAATGTCATCAGTGCAGGTGCCAAGAACTGTTGTGCCAAGGGATTTCCTAGAATTAGCTCGTGTACTTTCAGGGTACGTGGTTGAATGTTAGGGTTGACCACGAAAATAACCTTAACAGAAACACACAATAAAAAAGCATTAACTTACAGCAATCCATAGTGGCTGCAAACCAAGTCTCTATTAAGCATAAGCATAAGCATCTTAAGCATAAAAAATGGAAAAGTTTCCATTCCTTATTC